TCGTTGTAAAATAGTCTCCCATTTATCCTTCCTAAGAATCTGTGAATTTTTGTTAAAAAATTGGTTGGCACAGAAATATACATCATCATTTTTCACACAACGGTTAAAAATGCATTTTTAAATTTAGAGTGCCATAAATTTCAATTATTTTGGTGGATACAAAAAAAAAAAAAAAAAAAAAACAACTTGAATTAAAGGAAGAAATATACTAAAGAAAAAAATAGGCATCATTCATGGTTAAGCTTTACGCAGCAAATCAAAAACAAGAAACAGAGATAGATACTTCTTACATATGTACACGCAACATGTTAAATTGTCATAAGCCTTAAAAATTCCATTATGATTATTTACTCTAGTACCCAGAGTTTTGCCGCCCACAGAAAATGAACATAAAACAAGGAAACACAAACAAAGACACATGGACCGAGATAAGGATACAAAGTTTTCTAAACGAATAAATCTGTTTGTCTTTGCTGCCAGGACACAAACAAGCTCACACACACAGAGAAGCTGGGGTAAAAAATTGTGAAATATTTTAAAACGGAGAGCCAGAGAGATACACACACATAAGAATGTTAATAAATGAGAACTTTAGCGCGACAACAAGACAAAACCCATTTTTACAAGGATATATAAAGGAGCCTTGGAGCCATTGCAGGCCGAAAAACAAGACAAAAAAGAAATGGGGAAAGCACAACAAATCGCTGCAGGATATGCAGACAAGGCAAACAAGTCACGAACCAAAAAAAAACCCAAAAAGAAACCAAACAGGCAAAAAGGACGATAACTTCAGTTCCAGGCTGAAAAATGAAAATACTCGTCGAGCCGCAAAAGATTTGCAACATAAATATTTTCCATTTCCAGACAAACGATGTGAAAAACGATTTATAAAAAGAAAAAAAAAAAGAAAAATTACAAATGGAAAAGAAAACATGAATTGCGGCATTTATTTGTATATTAAGAGTTGATTTTTTGCGCCCATCGCTACGTTTGCAATGGCGTCGGCCATTTTGTGACGACTGCAACAAAATGGCGGTCACAAAAAAAAAATTGCATTGCCCAAAACGATTGTTGCCGGGGGATTTCCCTACTTGTATTTGGTAGCGTTCTGTTTATGGATTTAAACATCTGCGTAAAATAATAAAATAATACACCATATCGTTGTGATCGCTTTGTATTAACTAAAATGTTAATAAGGAATATATGGAAACCAAATAAAAATGTATTTAGCACAAATAAATGAAATTGTCTTTTCGGTTCCTTGTTATTTCTTGGTAAAGTAAGAAAAGAAACGAACGGAAACAAAAATATCTATAATATAAATAAATATTTCGAAAAGAAACAAGTCTATGCCACTTAAGAAAAAATTAAAATTGGCTCCACCTAGACTGAAGGATTTTATTTAAGTCAAATAAATAAATATAACAAAGAGTTGCTGCGCAAAATTGAACTAACCCTTAAATCAGTTTCTTGTACTCTTAAACAAAAACAAATAGTATGGTGCAACAATATGCAAACAAGGGAAAACATATATTTAACAAAACAAAACCAATTCCAAATAAATTAATAAAAACATTTCAATGGATATTTAAGGGTAATTGGTTGTCGTGCCTGGACAATGAATCGTGTGCCCTTTATTTAGCTTTATTTTTGTTATTTTTTCTTTCCTTTTTTTAATAATAATATGAGCAATGATCAGGCTCAGCCTGCCCCCTCCACTCTAACTAATTGTGCTGGAGAATTAAATTCGATTCAAATCCTATTCGAAACGAATGCCACTTTTCTGGGACTGGATGTGCAGAATAATGTCTCTTTTCGTCGAAATGAAATATGTTATACTAAACAACAAAAAAGTTTTATGTTTGTACTTTGTTAGCGGGTAAAGGGCTAAAATACTAAATAGCTTCCGAATGTTTAGCTCTAAATTATTAACAAACACACAACGATATATATATATCACTCTACATACAGATGAAAATCTAAAATGGTATAGTAAATTGTTAAAATACAGGTAAATAAACAATGTATTTGAAGAAAAAAAAACAAATTAAAAAAAAATAATAAACAGATCAATAATAGAAAATAAAATAAAAAAAATCTGGAAAATAAACTCCAACCAGGAACGTGTGCTCACAATGAGCTCCGAACTTATTATGAAAGACCTTTAGGCATTTAGCAAAAAGGTAAACCTAAAAAACACTCCAAAGCCTACTTGATTTTTATTTGAAATTCAATTTTCCATTCCACGGCCTACTTGATTAAAAAATGAGGAATATTTTAAAAATAGCTAAATCTCTTATTAAGGAATCCATTTTGATATTTGACATTATAGATGAGTGTTAATTTATGTGGTTTAAAAATGTGTAATTTTAATAAATTAATAAAATACTATATTTCAAGGTGTGTTCTTTTTGCTTTCATTTCAAACACCATCAATAGCTCTCGATAAGTACCTAGTTATTGAATGACTTTTCGGTGACGGGCTTTTTAGTTAAATTTTGCGTAAACACTTATTTTTGGTACTCAACTAACACACTGCCACTTGTAGTCCCCTCAAAAAAACATATTCATGCCTGTGTCTGTGTCTGTCTGTTATATATCTAAACTAACAATCGGTTAAGTGCAGCAGCAAAAACATCACAAGGGCCATGGAAGTGGATACTCGACCCGTACAAAACCATCCCCCTGCACCCACTGCACCCTTAACACTTTATCCATTTTGGGTCATCCTTGTTATAGGAACTGAGAGTGTATCAGTTCACTTATTACCCTATTTGAAAATTATAGATGAAGAATTAAGATCCTTCACAAGGCATTAACATTGCTTTGATTTATACTTTATAAAACTTTAAATTTTCCCGGTTAGGCAACTTTCTCTTCATTCAAAAATAACCCAAATATTTGCAGAATAATTCTAACAAGCTTTAATTTGCAGATATTTTCTAAATTCCTAGATTTCTTTTTTTTTTTTTGTATAAGTTTTCCTTGGCACCTAGTTGCTTTGTTGACGTCATAATTAGAACGATGCCGACACAGATGCACCTGACTTGGAAAAACAAATTGCAACTGCACCCCTTACCGCACCGGAAAGCTTGCGTCTCAAAGTTCACCTGTGGCAGATTTATGACACCGAATAACCCCGTTTCAACCACCCTGTTCTTGCCACACCCTGTCAACCCCTTCGTGTGCTAGATTTGTACATTTTCGTGCCACATTTTAATTTCTCTGCATAGGGTGGGGCAGAGGCAGGGGGCAGGTGGCAGGTGGCAGAGGCAGGGGGCGAGACAAGCTCGTGCTGATGGCGGCGGGGTATTTTGAAAAACTCATTAACTGTGCACGCTACTTGGCACCTTTTGCGGACATCTTTTAATGCGTTTATGCGATATCTAATTCATGAAAATCTTAAAATTTGGGTGTTGTTTAAAAACGGTTATTTCAACAAGGTTATTTCTAAAAAGGTAATTTGAAAAAGACATTAAAAAGGCGTTTTAAAAAAAGTTCATTAAAAGAAATTATTTAAAAAGGTTTTTTAAAAAAATGTTATTTTAAAAAGGTTGTTTAAAAAAGTTTATTTTAAAACGGTTAATTTAAAAGGTAATTAAAAAAATATTATTTAAAAAAGCTATTTTAACAGCTTTTCAGAAAAAGGTTATTTTAAATGTTCTTTATGAATAGTTATTAAAAAACAGATTATTTAAAACTGAATTTTTAAAAAAGGTTCTTTACGAAGGGTTAAAAAATATTATTTAATTATGTTTTTTCAAAAATGTTATAAAAAATGTTATTTAAATATGATTTAGAAAGAAGTAGAATCGTGATTTAAAATGAAATGGCCTAAAAAGTATGCTAATATAATTTTTAACCACTTGTAATAATATAATTTCTGACAGCCTTGTATAAACTCACTAAACTAAGTATTTTTAGGATTGTGTTTTCCAATTCTCTTCTTTTTTTTGTATTCCTTTCTACCTTTCAATTTGCATCTCGCCTTGCCTTTGCTTACTCATTCTTCTTGCGTGTGTTGGTGTATTTTTTTTTTTGCCAGTTCTTGCGCCTTCCATTTCCATTTCCATTTGTGGGCGAAGGTCGCTCAACTTATCTGCATGGAAAATAAGAAAGGAAGAGAAAAAATACTAATAGGAGGGCGTGGTCCTCTGTGCGAGTGTGTTTATTGTGTGTGTGCACACACACGATTGCACAATAAGCCGATTTAAGAGCAACAAGAAAAAGGGGAGACCTACATTAAATCGAGCAAATAATTTATGCTGACTAAATTGAAAAAATGCAAATGAAGAAAGTTTGGGGAAAAATATACTAAAATAGCTTTGATTACGTTTTTAAAATAAATTTAATTACAGTTTCTATGTAATTTTTCTTTTAAGAAATTGTCATTGAGATGTATTTAAAAATGTTGCAGGTTTCAAAGGTTTTTCTAATTAAAATAAAATTAAAGGAACGTTCTGCAACTTTCCTGATTTTTACAATATAAAAAATAAACCCCATTATACAATTTAATAACTAATTCATAATCTCTTTTTCTTTGCAGCCATGAATGAACTTCTGCCCCTCATCACATTTGTTTCTCCATAAATAAAAACGTTTAACATAATAAAAAACATAACCGACTTTGTTATTAACAAATACCACAATAGTTGTTGAACAAAAAAACAAAGTAAATCCATTTAAAGATTCCAGTACAGTAAATTCAAATGCAGTAAATAAATTACAAAAAATAGTCTCTAAAACACACACACAAACAAACAACCGAAACCAAAAACCAAATAAATAAAATCAAAACCATTTAAATACAATAAAAAAGCAGTAAGAAGAAAAGCATACATAGTAAATCAACAGAGTAATACAATTTAACAAGCAACAATTTAAGTAAATTTATGCAAAATAGAAATGTTCGATTTCCACAATTCAGCAAACCAAATTACGCACAACAACGGCAACAGCAGAAGCGGCAGCAGCAATAAAACAAAAGCTACTGGAACAATAATAACAAAAATCACAAAATGCATTTAAAAAGTGCAGCGGCAACGTCAACAGTGAAAACAACAATTCTGAAACATAATTTAAGTAAATTTTATGGATACGGTTGGATGCAAGTCTTCCTACTACTGACAGTCTTCGTGATTGGTAATCAAAGTGCCTGGCAGGAGAATATTCGACCAAAACTCTACGTTGAATTAGGTAAGTGAGAAAATTTTGGAAATTATTTCAATAGAATTATAGATAATATAATACTTTTCGATAGTTCTACGTTAATAGTCAAGTGTTAATCCGATATTATATCGATATATCATGTTGTTCGATCAATTTGAGATTCGCGATTCTTAATAAACTTCAAATATATCGATATACCTTCGATATTAATATTCATTTCTCCGCTTCGATAGTCATTTGTCTTCTTGATATTTTTCCCATTTCATATCAAGCAGATTGCTTTTTACACACTCAAGAAATACAATTTTCATATTTATTGGAATACTCGCTTACCTATAATCGAATTTCTTTGAATGTGGCCAATGTCTGTCTCAGAAAGGATTCAAGGGAATTGTCACTTTGTGCGACATTCATTGTAACAAAATTAAGACTACAGCAAAATTCAATTTAAATTATGACCAAACAGGAAACAGGAAGTGAGTGAAACCCGTACATACTCTCACATAGTTGGAACGATACAGAAAAAGAAGTCAAAGGAATCAAAGTCAACTGCCAAAAACTTTAATGACAACATTTTTATGAGCACCAAAATGTAATTTGACTGCCAGACGACGACATACTGCCAATGGAGGAATAGTTTGGGGGTTATTCTGTTAAAGTTTGACATTTGAAAACTCACCTGGTCGCCGGCCCGCCCAACTCATCAGCAAACCTTTTTGGCCATCCTTCGAAAGTATCCACTTTTGGCAGGTGAAGAAGTTTGCTTGGAGAAATGAAGCAATAACGTGGACACAGAGAGAGTGTGTGTGTATATGTATATAGCTACTAATGCACACACTTTCTGAGATATATCCAGACATCCACACGTTAGCTATCTTAACTATAAATAACAAAAATTCCTGGAAGACATTATTTGCATAAAAGTGGCGAAGCTTTCAGTGTTGGAATGAGTCGGAGGGAGGAGATGCTAGATCCTGCTGCCTGCCATTGCCAGCAGCTATTTCTAGTGTCCTGTGTGTATGTCCTCGATGTGCGACATCGTCGTCATCACCATCATCATCATCATCGTCACCATGATGATCGCCGTCAGGAGTTACGTTGCATATGCAAATTTCGTTTCTTTTCCATTTCTTTTTTTTATCATTCTTTTTTTTTTGGCCCAAAAAGTTGGGCGACTTGTTCATCGTGCTCACGTAGGTTGGCGACGGATATAACCAAGCACATATAGTTGTCTATTTATATGGTGTACCCTGGTACATAGTGTAGTGAAAGGTATATATGTACATATGTATCTCCAGCTGCCTGCCAGGCTTTTTGTTTGTGCAAAATGAAGCAGAAAAGTCGAGTTGAGACACTGGAGTTTTGGCGAGAAGAGGATCAAAATTCTAAAAATATATATTTTTTTCATGCTTCAGAAGCATTTGGCACACACTAAATGGGAACAAAAACGGGGGGTTTTCCTCAGAAATTTACCATTCTTACAAGAGTAAGAAAAAGGGAGTAACATTGTACCCCTTACATTGTGTCAGGAAGTAGGTTATCTTAAGGATATTCCTTTATATAACTATGCATTTTACATGCTAGCATTACGATTAATATGTGCTTTTGTAGTAAAAAATATGGGAAACTGTAAGAGATAAATATATAGAATATAATATATAATATAGCATATTTTCATATTTAATTCTAAGACCTTCTATATGTCCTTTCCTTATTATCATCTGTCCAACCCTTGTAAAATATTTTTCTAGATATTTTTCTTTTCAATTTACTATTTCATCATGCTCAATATCTCATTAGGAAAACTCATTTCTCTTTGCCAACTGCTGTTGCCAAGTGAAATGGATTTCTTATTATTATTATTTTTTTTTTGCTTTTTGTTATTATTAGTTTAACTGCAAAATCAACTCAGGGATAATCTGTGAAACGAACCTGTTAACCCTCTGCGCACTGCTAAACCAATTACTTAGCTCCAGGCTCCATCACCTCTGCTTCTTCACTCCCACTGTCAGGGGACATTGCACGTGTTAAAGTTCATTTAAAATCCATCGGGAAATGGAGAGGAGAAGAGGAGTGGTAGAAGGTGTTAAGGAAAACCGTCATTTCAGAAAAAGGGGGCGGTTGTCGGGTGACAATTTTTCTCTTTTCACCATCTTCTCGCTGTTTGGGGCACTCGTGCATAACAGGAAAATAAGGTTAATGGGGAAATTATGAATGCGCCAAGGAGGTGCAGACCAAATGAGCAAAAGGGTGTTGCTGGATGTGTGTGAGGGTTTCATATGCCATTGTTGGTCAGGAAGCAAAAGGAAAGCCAGAAAGAATGGTTTAGTTGAGGGCCACGACTATGGTATACTCGGTACACATAGTCCTTCATGAATAAATGGTGGTTTCCTGAATACGGTACTAGGAAAATGCAAAAATCTGAGTATATGGTTGTGTCAGCCTGTTAGTTGTTTATAAAAAAGCCTTTAATTAATGAAAACTAATATTGTTAAAGGTTTAATTTAATTTAAACTTGGAAAGTTTAGTTAATAATTTGCAATGCAATAAGAATATATATATCACTATTTATACATTTATGTCACTATATATGTTTATATCATTATCATTACCAGTATTACTATAGATGTCAACAGTGTGAAGGCCGCGAACAGACTGAGGCCAGAGCGTCGTCCGCGCTTGTATTTATAGTCCCGAGTAAAGAGAACAGAGAAAGTGAGAGCGTGAGAGACATAGAGAGAAAGAGGCATCTCTAGAGATACACAGAGAGAGAGAGATAGAGATACCGAAAAATATAGAGTTACAGGGAGAGAGAAAGAGATATAGAGGATGAGCAAAAGAGGGGGATGGAGTATAAGAGAGACAGGGAGAGAGACATAAAACAAAAGAGAAAAGGGTTTCTATGGGAGCTATATGATAATACTGAACTGGAAAAGTTAATATTTGTTTTCTATAAATATCCGATCGTTCCTATGACATCTATATGATATAGTCATACGATTCGTCCCTTTCCTACTTATAAACTAGCAAAGGGTATAACAAAAGATACAAGGTCGAAAATGCTCTTTGCCTTCTGTTAAATACAGAAAATGCAATATCCTTTTAAACTTTCCTGGAGCACCGGCTATAAAAAAAGGGGGGCACCAAACTCTGTTATACGCAGTCTCTCCCCTTTGGGGTCCTTTCGACCATAAAATATTACAACTCTGCGTGGCCAGGGGTTGCATTTGACAGCCGCAAGTGGTTGTCATTAGGAGCTGCGACAAAACGGTCATTTAAATGCGCTCTTCTTCTCCGCTGGTGCTGGTGGTACTTTTTTTTCATACACCCTTTCCTTTCGTCCTTTTTGCAGTGAAATTACGTCCATCAAGTGGGTGGCAAGGAGTGGTGGTGGGGGGGCGGCACCTAATGCTGATCGTTTTGCGGCATTTTCGCGCTGCATTTTCCTCCCTCCACCCCACTCGCACAGGCTGCTGGAAAACTCACGTTTTTCTCTCGGCACAAATTTTTGTGGACACTTGTGTAAAATGTATCTTATGCTTATTTCTTGGTACGTGCAATGAAATTGGGATTACCAATCCAATCTGGAGGGCAGGGAAAAGTGCCAAGATAAGAATAATATAAATTTCTGGGAAAATGTACTTCTTGAAAGCTAAATGACTCTTGAATTACCAATTCAAATTAAATGTAATTACACTAGTTACATTTTTCTATCAGATAATTGATAATTTCCTTGAAATTGAGCATTAATGGTTTAAGTAATCGAGATCAAAGTTGCAATTATTGGGTTTAAACGACGCAAACTTCCGTTTGATGACCAATTGGGCGTGAGGGGAGTATATTACTTAGACTACATTAACTTTGGTTAGTAACAGGAAAAAAAAGAGTAGTAGAAAGCTAAAATGTGTTATTTAGGAATTTAATTAATATTTTAGGGATTATAGTTTCAATCTCAAGTAATAAATCTGTGAGTCTGTAAAGTGTATTTCCCTAATTTAATTGAATTTCTTCTTCATGCCTTTGGAGTAAAGTGTAAATTGGAATGTCTTCCTGGAATACTTACTTCCTGCTTCCAAGCTCCCTTCCAAGTTCGAAGTCGCGCGTCATCCAAAAATAGTTTTGTCGGCGACGTTCTCGACTTCATTTTCGCCTTGAATTGGTTGAGGGGGGAGTTCGCCGTCATTAAAACTGTCTGCAACGTGTTGGAACAGCAAACATAACTGTTAATTGCCATTTGTGCGGAAAGTCGGAGAATTCATTTCGGTCTCATTTTCATATTTTTCGCCGCATGCCGCCGCCTCATTACAATTTAATTCACAATGTAATTGCAGACGTACACATCGACACTACCCCCGTCCCCCACCAAGGAAAACTAAGCAACTGAAAAGTAGAGGAAAATAAGAAAGGAGATGATGGGGGTGGGCTGGGTGAGGCAGGCAACCACCGACTTGGCAAAAAGTTTTCTTGCAGTTTTGCGCCATTGACACGCGCCTCGCATAATTTCCACACGTCTTATGTGCCACAAGACGCGCATATGTATGCATACACTGCTTAAGTCACCACTTCCACCCCCTCCATTCAAGTTTTCCACAATTTTACCCCCCCAGAAGTCGTGACTCTACCCTCTCTGGAATTTCCTTGCCATATGCATTTTTGGCAGTCCACAAAACAAAAAAAAAAAGGGGCGGAAATGCGACAGCTACAAAATATAACCCCGAACTGCAATGTGGGGGCCTCTTTATTCTCTTTCTCTTCTCCATTCTGTCGGTCTTTCTGTCTTTGTTTCCTCTCCACTTGCCCATATTTACATATTACTTTGATTCCATTTATATATGTATATCTGTTAAATAAATTGTGAATTGATAATCGCTGTCGTCGGTTGTCTCGTGTCTGTATTTGGATTTCTGAAATGTATGTGAGATGAATAGTTTTAGCGATGATAGGGAGGAGATTATGGGGGGTTTACATCAGAGAGATTACATCATGGTTTGCGGGAAACATTCAGGGAATATATACAATAAAGTACT